ACTACTATAAGGATTATTGTGGATTTTTAGCGGCGATTACAATACCCTCTAATCCAATATACCATCCCATGAAAACCATTAATTTTCTATATTTGCTTTGGATGAATAGTTTTAAATGGAAGGAGTAGTGTAAATAAATAGTGATGACAAAAATCTGGTTTAGGAGCTAATAAGACAAACATTGAGAAAAAATGTGAGAACAAGAAAAAAAAGAGCATGAATTCTTATTATTTCTTATTTTTATTAAAATCGGATCAGATCACATCAGACCAGATTAGATCGAATCAGATCAAATCAGGACTTATTAAAATCAGATCCCATCAAGAATTATTATTATTATTATTATTATTATCATCATCATCATCATCATCATCATCATCATCATCATCATCATCGTCATCATCATCATCATTACAATGTCAATCTAATTCTACTTTTAAAATATATTTTTATTGATACTTGTAATTTGAGTTTCTAAATTTTTGATCTTTTATAAGTATGAGATATTTTAATAAAAATACTATCTTTTCTATATATTGATCGTCTAAATTTAATTATTTTTTAATGTATATCTAAATTAAATCTTTATTCTAATGTATAATCTAATTTTACAAAAAATAACCATAAAATAAAAATATTATTACATTATAATATGAATGATTATTCTAATATATGAATTGACTATTTTTATTTTATTAAAAAATAATCATTAAATAAAAAATATTGATTATATTATAATATAAATTATCATTACAATTTTCAAACGTTATTATAAAGTTAAATTAAATTATTGATTTAAAATTTTAAATTAAATCATAATTAATCGGATCAGATCCAATCAGATCAGATCATATCCAATCAGATCAAATCATATCCAATCAGATCAGATCAGAACTTATTAGAATCAGATCAGATCAGAAAAAATAAGTTGAACGGAACGGAGCCTTAGTGGAGCTTGTCTCCCAGTTTTGAAATAAGTGGAGAAAGACAATTTGACAAAAGAGTTTTGTCCTTAAGTCCTTTTATTATTGTTATTGCATTTTATACTTTAATAAAAATGAAAGCTCATTCACTTCCGTACAAGAGAGAGTTTCGGCCAAGAAGGGAAGAGGAAGAGAAAAACATTTTGAGTCCTAAAGTTGATATTTTGGGTGTAGAAAATTGATATACGGAGTAATATTTTCTTTAAAATATTATTAATATATTTTCTAGGGAGTAGTTTTTAGTATACAAGATTAATATTATCTCTCTTAAATCTTTATATTAAATATACTATTATAATTTTTATTAGCATAAAGATTATAATAGACTCCGGAGATTATTGTTCGTGTGCCAAAGTTGGAGGCCGAACATTTGAACGGCTATGTTTGCTCCTTCAACACCTTTTGCTCGACTTCTCGTTCATACCGCTTTACCAGAGAAGGTATAATTTTCTATCGCTAGCTATAATTTTAGTACGTGTTCTTGGGCTACTAATCACTATTGGGAGATTAAATTTTGTATTTTCGCTGCCCTCCCAACCGTGGTTACCTTTCACTGACCGTGTGGGTGATTCTTTGCCTTTAATTCCTTTTCTTTTTTACAAATCTCCGTCATTATCATTCATCCCCTCCCATCGTTTATCTTATATTCCATCAGTCCAAAATTAATGCGCGTTGTTTGACTTTGTACATAGTTTAATAAAAACTCAAATTATATAATTGAAAGTATAGTAATTTACTTAAATAACACTAAAACATAATGACTTTTCCTAAATAGCACTGCAAGGGTTTTTTCTAATGTAACACTTTTAGTCATTATGCATTAGTCATTATTCAAGTAAATAATCATCATCACTAGACATTATGCACATTATTAAGTGCTATTCAGAAAAATGATACTCCCTCCGTCCTAAAACTTTCTTCCCACTTCCCCTTTTTCTCCGTCCTAAAACTACCTTCCCATTAGAAAAAAAAGATAACAAATGACATTAATACCCTCATGTATTTGCACCAATTATCTTCTAACACTATATTTTGAATGATTGCAAAAAATCTTTTTTAAGGAGGGTAAAATTTGAAGTCAAACCAAAAATTAAAAATGGAGAAAAGTCAAACTGGGAAGAAAGTTTTAGGACGGAGGGAGTAAGTTTTAGTGCTATTTAGTGCAAATAATTTTTGAAAGTATTCCAGAAAGGAGAAAAAATGGTGAGTCAAAAAAAGCTTTCTAAAATGAAAAGTTGAATAATTACTTTGGAATGGCCCAAAAAAATAAGAATGATTAATTTGGGACAGATGAAATATAATTTCATCACCCGTTTTATGACAATATCTTGACCATGGGGTCAGGGCCGGGCCCGAAAAATGAAAAAACAAAATTGGTCCGGTCCAAAATTTATATTTTGTGTCCTATTTTATATTTTCAAAATACTTTTGCTTTAAAATTATTAACAAATTTAAAAATATGGTATCCTAAATTTTAAGGTGCGCTGTGCGGTTGGCCACTTTGCACACCTTCCGGGCCTCCCATGCGTGGGGTGATTCTTTGCCTTTATTCATTTTTTTAGTACAAGTCTCCATTATATTAGGCATGAAACTCTTCTATATCCATTTTCAAACATCTAAAAGTTTTTAATAAAATGAGAAGCAATTTGAAAAATTTGAAAAAACTAACATAGGCACTTGATATGTAGGTAGTGACAAGAATGATCCTTATCGTAATAATTTTTGTAAGAGAGCTACAGTGAGGACGTGACCCCCATAACGTTAGGATGGCACATAGCTACCATTTCAATGGTAACGTTTCTCAAAATCCTAATTTTGAATTGAATTGATTTTAAATTCAACACCATTTGGCCAAATTTATATTTTTTGTTTTAATCGTACTATTTACATGGTCAGGCTTTAATCACCATCTCATTACTTGTCATTAGTCAAATGATAAAAAAATATAGGTATGTCACCTCTTATTTTTTAGGGGTTTTCATATATTTTTTAAACATGTAAATTTTATTTATTGCTTCTACCCCAATTTTAATGTAAATTAATTTGAACTAATTTTTGTCAAACATCATAAACAACATGGCAACTTAAAATAGAAAGGGAGATGTAAAATATTGGCTCCACAAAAAAACACGTGTAAAATTGGAGCTAATAATAACAATAATAATAACAATAATAATATTATTATTATAACAAAAATAGCTTTATTGAAAAAGTCTCAATTAATACTCCGTAAAACGGATGAAGAAGGATATGGATGGAGTCCAAAGTCCAAACGCATACCTTAGCTTTTGCGTTAATTTATTTGAGAGAATGAAATGTGTGCCTATCGTCCCACACCGGTTCAAGAAGAGACAAGAAGCGGGGGAAGAAGTGTATAAATTTGGGCCGAGGCACACATTGTCACTTACTTACCTGGATGGGGTCGATAAGCGATCCAGAAGGCCTATGGCCTAAGCTGATGACTTCCATTGCACTTTGGAAGGGTGTCCGCTTAAGGTCTACCCAAGTGGTGGAGCCTACGCATAATTTGTGGCCGTGGGGGCCTGCGTTCGCGCGGCCCCTACCCAATCCTCTTCAAGTATTATAATTTTATTTATCCTCGATTAAGAATTATAAGAATTACCAAAGTTGATTTATTTTCAAAATTGACAAATTACAATCTCCTTAATTTAATTCCTTATTATCTGGGTTATGGAAAATTATTTTTATTTGACTGATGATTTCATGAATATAATCCATATCTTTAGACTTCCATTGTTTTTATTTTACTCTTTCAACCCCAAAAGGTGTCAAAATATAGATTAAAAATTGAACACCCTCATTCATAAACGACAATTTGTAGCATATTGAACACCCTCATTTGTAACATATTGAACACCATCATCTAAGAGTTTGTAGTTCTAGTTTATTTATAAGAAATCAATTTGTATACCATATAAAATAGTGAACAAAAAATGTCATTTTTTTAATATGAGGATCTGTTTGTATTGAATAAAAATTAAAAAGAAAATAATCAGAATAAGACCAAAACGTAGCATATATCCTCAATGGGCGATTAAGAAGACTCATGTCCTAGGTTGATGACTTCCATTGCACTTTGGAAGGGCATTCGCTTAAGGTTTACCTAAGTGGTGGAGCCTACGTCATAATTTGTGGTAGTGGGGCATGCGTTCGCGCGGCTCCTACCCAATCTTTTTTCAAGTTTTATTATGTTTTATTTTTTTCATTGATCTGTATTCATATAAATTAATTATAAAGGGATGGGTTTGGAGTAGTTGTCATAAAAAACCCGATCAAACTAGTAGTTAAGTGTTAGAATTTGTATTGTGAACAAATTTTTATGTTTTTTATTAGTTTCATACAAAGTGTTTTTTTAATAATTTTTTTATACTTTCATAAGAGTAAATTCCATAAATGGTGCATCATAATTAGAGAATTTTCATATGTAGTCCATTATTATCAGATACTATTATCATAGTCCATTTGAATTGCGGTCTTTTTCTCGTTTATACCTTTGTTATTTTGAGGTTTATATTGAAAGCATCTTTATTTGTGTTTCAGTTACATAAATCTAAAAAATTAAGTTTCTCTGTACGTCATCTTTCAGCTTTCATTTTTAGCAAAACATTCCAAATAATCTAAGAATGAAATGTGTGCCTCCTTTTTCCTTTTTATATTTAAATCATCTAATCTCTATATTTTTTTTAACATAGTTCCTTCTTTTTCTTCTCTTTGATTATACTCAAATTAAAAGTAGTGTTACATGTATTATTTTTTCTTTCATGTACTTCATAATGGTTTTAGTTTAATTATATTGTGTGTTCTTTAACAATCATGTAATTTATTAATTTCTAAATTAATTTTTTTGTGTATTTAATTGTTGTAATTAAATTGGAAAAAAATTAATTAACCCAAAATAGGGAAAAAATTAATAATGGAATAATTACACTAAACCCAAAAATAAATTTTAATTAATTTATAATGTTATTTTATATAATATGGAATTCAATCTAAATAGAAATAGCTAAATATTTATTTAAAAAAATTAAAATATAATCATTGTAGTGGATGAGACGCACTATAATCATTGCAATGAGTAAAATATTGTGTTGTCATAGCGTTGAGTAATGCTGAATGGCTTCTAATTTAAGGTTAATGGCGATAGAACGCTAGTCAAACAACTGTACACATTTGAATATATGAAGGCAGAGACGTGAGTCTTGTTTTCCTTCATCATCGTCATCAAATACAACACTCAATGGCTCCACAGACAATGCATTTCGTCACTTTAAGGGTCACTACCTGACCACAACTATAATAATGGAATCTCAGTCTACTATATATAAATCCTGCTTCCCAAAAGTGTTTCTTTAAACAAAAAGAATTGTTGCTAGAAAATAGTCTCATTATATTAAAAAGCTTACTTTTTTTGCATTAACTATTAAAAATGAGAAGAAGATTGTCTGATTTCATGGCTTTTAATAGTTGTACCCTTCCAAAATTTCAATATTTTAACTTGACCACTTTCTTAGAGTGGACAGTGTTTGAAATATATGGCACATGTGGAGATTCAGAATGAAAGAGAAAGCTAATCAAATACTAGGTGATTACCCTCTTTGGAGTACTACAAAAAAGTTCTCTTGTCTCTCTGTATCAATAACCTGTTATATATACAGAAGGTGGAGGGTTAGGCCAGGATATTGTATGCATGTTCCCAAAAAAAAAAAGGTTAGATTTATAGTAGAAAATGAATAGAGCATTGCTCAATATACCTCCTTCAAGCTTCTACCTCTTTTTTACATTGTTATCATGACATTTGTGTTTAGTTCACTTCTGCCAAGCAAAGAATTTAGTAATCTAGTATTCAAAAGTACAAATTGAAAGGGTGTCAAAAGATCAATGACACGTCCAAATGGAGTGTAAACCAAATGCCACTTGGAACCATGAAGCAACACAATTGTGGAATCAAAAAAAGAAAGTGAAGCCCTAAACCCAGAATGTGTTTATACGAGGTTGATCAAAGCCTCCTTATCTTCTCCACTATGAACATAGCATTCATAGCGTAGACGCTTTGTTATACAGACCTGATTTTACAGAAGCCTTAGTGTTGCCTCCTTAGACTTTGTTTACAATGAACAAGCCTTCACGGAGCTCTCCAATGAACGTCTAGAGCTTAAACTATATTCATTTAATTTGTGGGAGTGTCCAATCCTGTTCAAACTTTAATTTATTTACAACGCTCTCTATTTTCTAATTAATTAATCCGTGTTCCACTTTTCCCACAATTTGGTTTTTAGTATTTGTAGAGAGTTGCAGTGCAATAAAAAGTTAAAAAACTGCTGGATTAACTTAAAATAAGCATATATAAAGATAAAAGTAACCGAAATGCAGAGTATCCATGGTTGGCCCTAAACATGGGTGCCAGATTTAATTAACAAAGAATACTGCTTTCACCAATTTCACTTTTCAAGATATACAAGTTGTGACTTACATTCTTGAAAATAGTTGAAAATAAATTGTAATCCTCCCATTTCATTCTCAGACCTATTGACATGGAAGTAAGATTATGTTTTACATAGAAATGATGTAATAATATAATAGAAGAAGACAGTTATTTTATGTAAAAACTCTGCAATATAAGTTTATTATTGTATGGATGAATCCTAAACAAAGCAATTAGGTGATTAATCCGAAATAATAGCAAGGAATCATCAACATATTAAATTCAGAATCCAAACAGGGCAGAATTGAAAGCATTAACACTGAATGGATGAATCGTCGATGTTCCAGGGTTAGCAATTCAACGAAACCCAGTAGATTAGCATGTCTTAATGGAATCAAATATCCAGAATCTGCAGATTTAGTCAAAGAAAACACAGTAGAAATTCAAGAGAAAAAAAATGGCAAAAAGAATAGAAGAAAATAAATAAGGGGAAACCCTAAAATTCAAGGGGAAAAAAAAGCGCAAAAAAAATTTGGACCATTTCTCGAAGGGACGATTTTCTATGTGACTCTTGAATATATGAAGGAGATGATCTGAGGTTTATTTGCTGGTGTGGGATGAAGCCTATTGAAACCCAAAGTTAATTTGCACAATTCCATATCTCCTTTTTTTTTTTTTGAATTTTTCCAGATGAAAAGGTTTGATTCTATGAAGGAAGATTTTGTTTTAATATTTAAGACTAGGGGTTTTCAGAGATTTTCCATACTCAAGAAAAATAGGGAACTACTAAATACGGAGTAATTAAATACGTTGTAGGAATATTTATTATTATTATTGTAGGAATATTTGTTGTAGGAATAATTACTTTGCACAACTTCATACCTCCTTTTTTTTAAAACTTTTTCAGATGAAAAGGTTTGATTCAATGAAGTAAGATTTTGTTTTAATCTTTAAGACTATGTTTGGTTCTATAAATTTAAAAGTAAAATACAAAAATGATTTTCTTCTTTTTTTGTCGAAATGGAAGAAATTTTATTTTCTTTCCTCTTAGAATATATTTTTCTTTTCATTCTACATTTATTTTTCTTTTCCAACTAAAAAAGAATAATAATTTTCCATCTCATTTTCTTAATGTTTTTCCTTCAAATTCCCAATGTTATGAGTATAATCATTTGTCTTGGCGAAATCAAAATGATATATGGTCTTCAACTTCTTATCGTGCCGAATTCTAGTGCGTTTATTGCTGTATTCCAATAGCTATAGAAAAGTACATTAAAGATTCTACAAAACAAATACTCCCCACATTTTGTAGAATTTTTAATGGAATATAGATGTCACCTCCTCGAGCTACTTCTTACCACCTCTTAAGATAAATAATTATTAATAGATTTGATCAGGATTTTGGTGAATCTGGAATTTTTTTTTTCAAAAATAAAGGGAAAAAAATAACACAGGGCTTGAAAAGTTGGGCCTCGCTAGCTGAAATAGCCACATCACAATCAAATTCATTTTAGTATTATATAGTACTAGCAATTGTAAGAAATATTTTTTTACACCATAATTGATGATGATGTAATGTAGGGTGTACCGTTTTGTTCAATTATTTATTTTATTCCAATTTTTATTATTCAATTTCTGTTCTTTTATTTTTATTGCAAAATTTTTAATGCACAATTAGAACGTTTTGAATTCAAGGTGAAAATAAGTTGAAAAGATCATGCGCCAAAAAGTAAAAATGAAGAGCATTCAAGAATAGATGGAGTAGAAAAACGCAATAGTCTCACCTCATAGAAATAAAGCACCCTAAATAAAAGTAATACATTTTGACAGATAAAAGTGTCATACATACTATGCATATAAGGCATATTTAATTATAAAAATTAGGAAATATATACTTTAATTTATTTTAACAATAACCTAATTGATGTATTGTGTCAAAATTTTTATTTATTGCAACACTAACTAGATTGTAATAATAATGAGATTGCAACATAACAAAAGTACATATATTTAAATATGTAACTTTCAAAAGATTGATTGTAATTGTCTTACAAAATTGAAAACTGTAATGCTACTACATTGTTCAAAATCAAAATATGAATTTGATCCAACAAAATTAAGAACATTGTTCTAAACCAAAGTCCAGCTGCATCTTCATCTCCATCATATGGGTAAGTACTTGAATCTCATCCTAACATATAAAGAAAAAACATACATGAGTGCATGTGTAACTGTGTAAGCCAAAATATTTGTTGTTTTAAGAATTAAAATGTCCCAAAAAAGAGAGCATTGCCACAGTTTCTCCAACACAGATGTTCTTAAATGTCATCAGTTATGTTCTTAAAGGTCTCAAATATTCTTATTTCTTAAGTTCATATTAAGTTTTGATTTCTAACATATTTCAATTAGAAAAAGTAATTAGATGAAATAATTACAAATTACCGGTATGTGTTCCACACCACGAGTGGTAAAGGCATAGTTATGAATCTGCATGAAACAGATCTCCAAATGCAGATTATAGAAGACTTACCACTTGCATATTAAACACATTACAGTTTAAGATTTTAAGCTAAATGGGCATCATTCATCGAGCTCATAAACGTAGAATAATGCTTCATTTGGTAGCCTTATCTGCTTGTGAATACTTCACAATCCTCAATAAAAATTATTCCTATTTGGCAGGTTGATAATGCAAAAATAAATGAACAGAATCACAATTGAATGTGAGGTCAGCTGTTCCTTCCATGAAAACAATTGAATGTTTGGAGTACAAAATATTTCGGTTCACAAGGAGAAGTTACTAGTATTATTATTCGATCAATGTAATGAAATCAGCAAAAAGGTAGTGTATGTAAACAACTAGAAGGGTTTACTATGTTTGGAAATGAGCATAAGGTGTGCTAGTTGGAAGAGTCGTTGTATGACTTAAAGCAGACACCTAAACAATGACATCAAAAATTTGATAAGGTTGTGTTCTCACATGGTTTCTTGTTGAAAAAGACTGATAACTGACAAGTCTGTATATAGCACATTTGATGTATTTAGTAAAGGAATTATAATTTGTCTATATGTTAATGACATGTTGATCTTTAGTAAAGGAGTCATAGTTTGTTGCTTTAGCTTCAGCCAGTAAAGGTGAGTGGCTGAGAAACTTAGTGTATAAAATCCCGTTGTAGTCTACTAAATCAATATGTTAATGACATGTGGGTCTTTGGTACTAACCAAGATCAAGTCAATAGAACTAGGAAATTCTTGCTATCAAATTTCTTGCTATAAGGTAACAAGTTTTTTAAAACACTGAAATATTTAAGGGCTTGCCAAGCTCACCTGAGTTGGAATAAGTATGCACCAGGAGGTAATCAAGTATCCGTGAAAAGAAACAGATAAAAAAACATTTTTTTCAAACATGTGGATACATGTTTGGTTTTTGAAACCCTTATAGAGGTGGGGTTTTAAGTTGCCTTGTTGTGTAAAGGATGACTTATTGAAGCAAATAATGAGTTTGTATCATAACCTTGTTTGCAGAATATTTATGCCGCTTACATTCAGATTTTTTTTTTTGAAAACAAACAAACCGCATTAAATTTGAAGAGGAACAAAGTCAGGAGATAAATACCAATGCATAATAGAAATCTGCTCGTAGGCTGCAGCAGCAAGAGAATGAGCAAAAAAATTAGACGATCGAGGAATAGAACTAAAAGAACAATAATTGAATCCATGCGTAAGTTTCCCGCAGTCCGAGCTAGGGATGCCAATATAAAAGCAAATGTCCAGTGAGGGGTTTGCCATATTGTGACATAAGATTGCACAGTCAGAAAGTACGTGAATGGAAGACATCCCACGAAGCTTTAACCAAATGAGCACCTCTTTTGCAGCAAATGTCTCCACCAATAACGGACACAAGAAGCAAGAGAGGGGTCCATTCACAGCCCCCAAGAAAGCTCCATTAGAAGAGTAGAGGACAGCACCAAACGTACCTCAACTAGAAGCATGTGAGAAGCTTGCATCAACATAGCAGATAGGGTAACAACTGAGCAATGCCCCTCCAAACTATTGTCGTTGACCGAGGAAAGGAGAAGGAATTTGGGCTCACATCCATCCGCGCCGTGGTGCAAGTGACACGAGGGGTTGGCAATTTGGTGCCACCCAAATCCCGTGCATAACCCCAACAGCGAGCTCCAATTCCTAATGGCTCAATGCACTGCAAACCGCCTGTAACCACTGTGAAAAGTCCAGCCCTGAACCATTAAGCAACGGCAGTCCAGATTCACACCACACATGCACAACGTAGACACAAGTGCCAAGGGAATGCATGACACTCTCCACGAACAGTCTGCAAACAGAACAAAAGGGATCCACATAAACTTTCCTAGAACCAATATTGGTTGTAGTGGGAAGAACATCCCTAGCGGCTGTCCAGATAAAGGTCCTCCATTTAGGAAAGCCAAAACATATAATCAAGTACTATATAAACATTCAGTCAGACAGACATTAGGAGATATTAACAATGCCTAGACTACGGAGTTTCAACATTCACAACAAAGTTGACAGACTAAAAACACATCTAGATCAATACAGCTATGGAATTCCCGAGTTTCAAGGAGTTGAACTTCCAACTCGTACCACTAAACAGACCAACTGTTCCTACCATGAAAATGATTGAATGTTTGGGATAAAAAATAATTCAGTTCATAAGATTGTTTGATTAGTTTAATGAAATCAGCAGAAAGAGTAAAGTACTAGAAACTTAAAAGCTCAAATTAATTGTTAGACGCATCAACCGAAACGCATAAATTCAGAAGATAAATCAACAAAACCAAAAAATAACAGAAATGAAATCAACAAGGCGTGCACCACTTTCTAATGAGGTTCTTTAAGCTTCGAACTCTTCATCTCCATATCAGGCTCTCCAATGGATGATCTGGAAACCACTATTAGGTAGTGCATGTACAGGCAAAGATTGCTAGTCTAAACTTGTGGAGTCCATAACATGTATAGAAATTAAACACTTTGCATGGATTCAATTGAAACAAGCTTAATAGAGTTGAAATTTTGAAAGCAACAAAAGTCGATGCTGAAGGCAGTATAAGTTCTAAGTAGAACTTCAAGTTTAAAAACTCAGAAAAAATCACATTATAAAACTTGTTCTACTAGGGAAGTAAGTCCTTTGCAAAACCATATGGCCATATCACAATCCTAATCACATGAATCACTAGTTTAAAAGTAAATAGCAACACCTATTTGGAAAAAGATGCAACATAAATAAAAATTAAACAGAGATTCATCCAAACGAACAAGAAAATGCACAGGAAAAAAAACCAAACTTGAAAGGGCAATGAACTTCAGGTCAGCCACAGTTCAATGCGCAGGGGTGTAATTTAGGGTTAGCAATACACAGAAACCCAGACACAGAAACAGGAAAAAACACATTTAATCGAATCCAAAATCCACAGGGAAAAAGGGCAAAAAAAATTTGGACAATTTCTCGATTTGTGCGTGTCATCCTTGCGCAGGGGCCATGCTAATCTTCTCTGTATCGTTCCAATTTTATCGGATGTCCCCGAAGGGACAACCTTCTCTGTGACTCTTGAGTATATGAAGGAGATGATCTGAGCATTGTTGGCCGGTGTGGGAAAATGCTGGTAAAGACTATAAGACTTCTCCCTTCCCTTCCAATTGTGTTTAGGACAAATGAAATAAACACAAATTATCCTAGAAACGGTGGAAGTATATGCGTTGATATCGAATATACAAATGATAATCGTAACTGATTTGAGGCAAAAGAAAAAAAATTATATTCCTTTACGGAGTTTGAAAGATGAATTACAAAATTAGTGTATGGTTAGAATTAAGTCACAAAGTTTGGAAAAAAAGTAAAATTCAAATACAATATGGATATATTTCTTTCGTCTCTCATAGATCTTCTCAAACATTATTCACAAAATCAAATTCAAAAATTTACATCTACAATCAAATAAATTGAACTAAAAATAAAATCAGTCAAGTCTCGTGATGCATAATGAGAAGATCTATGAAAAACACGTTTTTTACTTCATTTTTAATATCTGACAATCTTTTGGGCATTTTACATTATACCCAGTATCTTATACTCGTATTGCATTATTAATTTTAAGGCAAAATTGTTTCTGCAGTTTGACATTTTAACTTTGTTTTGATCATGTCATATTTTTGGATTGTTTTAACCGTAGACATCTAGTAATTACCAGAGTATTATGGTGGCCGTGAAAACTGACAGTAAGCTCATAACAGAAACACATCAAAAATGTGAGCAATAATTTTTTGAAATTATAATATAATTTTTGTTTTTAAATTTGTAAACAAAAATTAATTGTACTCCATTAAACATGGATGGAGTGCAAAAATGTTTTGATAAGTAGTTGTATGTCCACTTTTTTTATTGAAGTTGTATGTCCTCTTTTTTATTGAAGTTGTATGTTCTATTGTGGTATACAACATTATAGGTCTTAGTTTACGCCCTAACATGGTTTGGCATGAATGACATGGTACCACCTATACAAATTTAAAATGACTGTAATATCAATTGGTTTTAGTAGTAAAATCAAACCGAACCATACCATATTGTTTAAGTAGTTACAGTACAACAATAGTTCCCGAAAATGTACTCTGTAATCACTCATTGTTGCAGATTTCGTAATTTGGCTAGACTAGTACGGAGTAACTTGTAGATATTGTATTTGTGTTAGATAAAATCACTTCAGATTGTGTAATATTCCGTACAATAAGCCTACCCCATTTGTACACCAGGCAAATATAAACACTAAATGTCTGTGATCACAAACACTTAATGTCTGTGTTTGCGTGGTATGCAAATGAGATATACCATTTTGGTGTACTTCTAGCATCACCCTATTTATTACTATGTTAATGAGTAGTTCTTTTCAGCCACCAAATTCAGATTTTTGGAGTTCTGGAGCCCAGCTGCCCTGTTTTGCCATCAACCAAACAAACTCAGCCATGCCCATAATAGTGATGAGACCAACAGAACCTGCTACCTCTTCTCCCATCATCACCTTCATCAACACCATCATCATCTCTACTGTGAACCCACCATAGAAGATTTGTCAATGAGTTCCCATCATCATACCCTCTCAACCCCCTCACCTTCTCCAACGCTCCAACTTTATCATAAACCCCTTCCAACGCGTACACGAACCCTTTCCACCCTTCTCCCACCCCTTCCCTCGCTAGGGCTGGCAATGTCCATTCAACCAACTGCTTCACAAACTTGGCATCAGAGAATAGAACTTCACTTATGGGCAGTAATGGCAGAAGTTGTATTCCCAGCCTGCACTCCTTCCATTCCGCAGGAGCAAACCATAGGCCACTGTCCCTTTTAGTAGCCCACAAAACACCCACCACGCGGTTCTCCCTGGAAAACACTTCTGGGTACAAATTGTTATCCTCTCTAATGTGCCACCAAGTCTGTGCCGATTGGATTTCAAAGGCTGAGAGTGTGGATCCAACGGCTACAAGATGTGTGTCGCCGTAAGCCAACCCCATCAGAGCTGCAGAATAGTAAGCATTTATAGCCTCGCTCGTGCTCTCCTGGTTTCTCCCATCTGCAAATTCTGTCAACCCTCCTGCCCAAGAATGGAGCTTCCACAAGTCAAAACACCTCAACCGCGTGTAATTCGAATGCCTGCTAAGATTCATGAAATCTGCAACTAGAGAGTACGCCTGCCCCTTGTACTTCCTCCCCCATGCCGAATCAATCTTGGATAGCACAGCGATTGCATAAACAAAGTACCCAATGTGATAATGGTGATCATTGAAGATCCCAAATCCAAAATCTGCTCCTGTATCTGTTAAGCCTTGTCTGGTCACGAGTCCACCCCATTTGGAATCGTACAAGAATCCATTAGCATTGAAAGTTCCATCCAACCAGGGCTCAATTGCAGCCTTCAAGAAGCTTCGGATTGTTGGAATCGCGTCAAAGTGTGAGACCTCTTCAGCTATCAATGCCAGCCTTGCTGCTCTTGCAATCAACTTACCATAAAAATAGGACGACGAAGTCTGGATTTTTGCAGAATCCAGCGCGAGCACATCTGCATTGAGTGCAGCGATTACCTCGCCGTGTGATTCCTCATTGATGCCTTTGATGGAGTGCCAAGTCACTGAAATCGGATCGCACTTCAAGAGCCATGAATCCCCAACAATGCCTACAAGATCACCATCGATGCTGCTGTATTTGAACACATCTAAAATGGTGAATCTACAACCGGCGTCTGAAAGAAGACGAAGATGAAGGGGATGAGCAAGCATCAGCAGATCTCCCCATCCCCTTTTCTCCCACTTATACTCCAAGCAAAATGGCTTGGAGAACACGGCGTCACCTGCAATGGGATAACAAGAACTGAACCCGTCGAGAACCGGTTCACAAATCGGATCAGAGTCCGGCAAGAGAGCAATCCTGAACACGCCAAGGAAGTGCCCGGAAGTGATGGTAGACAAATCATGGCTCAAATTGATGGGCGAAGAGGCATAGAGAAGCCAGGTCTGGTTATTGTTGAGCTTAATCGTGTATTTGGTCTGAGTTTCATTGGGCGAACATTCTAGAATCGCGTGGATGGTTGAAATTGAGATCGGGACTATCCGGTTTACTTCACAGGTCAGGAAGGGGCTGCCCCTGACGAGGAAGAACCTGAGATTGCTGGAGGGAAGGTCGAGCGTGAGACTGAGATCGCTGAACGAGGAAACCACATGGGCCGCATTAGGGTCCGCATTGTTCAGAGCGGAAATGGTGAGATCCGAATTGAAAATCTGGTAGACGAACGCAGGGTTTCGGAACTGGGAGGGGTAACACAGAGAGAGCGACGATTGAGAGGATTTGAGGAGATATGGATGGATGTATTCCGGCTGATCGCCATTTTTGAGGACGAAGTTCTGGAAGAAGGAATTCGTCGGGAGAGGCTTGGAGAGGAGGTGGGCGGCGAAGAAACGGGAGGGGTCAGGGAGGACGGTGGACTGTGCTCGTGGGAAGACGAAAGGCCGGTGCGCCGGTGCAGGCGGAGACATGGGTGCGGCAGCGGGAGAAGAGGACAGTACCGGCGGAGGCGAGGATGAATGCAGCGGTGGTTGTGGCGGTTGTTGGGGTCGTCGTCTTGACGGAGTTTGTTTATAGAGTTTGTTGAATGACTTGGAGACAATGTATTTGACTTTTCTGGCAATCTTTTTCAACGCCATCATCACCCGTCGAACCTTAGCCGCGTAATTCTAAAGAAAATTAAACAAATTAATTTAAATTATAATTAAACGTTCATTCAAAAATCAAAACAAGTTAAATTTGTCAATGTGTACTTTTATCTCACAATTCATTATAATACTCCCTCCGTCATAAATTAGATGTCGTTGTTATTATAATGGATTCTCAATAATTTTTATTTGTATATACATTTTCATTGATAATTTAATAGGGAATATTACAAAATGTTCTTGTCACTTTTTGTTTTATATAGTTTTTTACATACTTTTAAATGGTGTAACCTAAAATGATACAGAGTAATTCTTAAATTAAAATACTTTTTATTTCTATACTAATTTGTAATTAAATTATTTTAAAAATGATAAGAGTCTGCACGTCGTTTGAAGTGTAATATCCAATATGGGACGGATATTACTATTCTAAAATCACGATGACTTTTATTTATTTATATTTTTTCATTGATAATTTAATAAAATAAAATATTTTTGTCACCTCTTATTATTTAGAACTTTTTAGGTAGGTTTTAATAATGTAAGTTTTATTATTTTATTTATGTCCTAATCTTAAATAAAATAAATTGAAAAAATTCAATTTTTTTTGTTTAACGTAATTCGTAATCAAAATAGGGCGCAAGGAGTAAAAAAACTTTTGCTCTGGTATGAATCATTCTTTACTATTGTTGTAAAAATCAGATTCAAGTGTTACCTATATGTACCTCCTTTCGACCAGCTCAGTCAAGCTCTTGGATTTACCCGCGCGCAATAAATGGAGAAACTTTGTTATTGCAACTACGAGTCTTTTACAAACAAATCAATTTTGTGAGTGTCATAAATCAATATATTATGTTATAAGAGACAAAATTTATTTATTTATTTATTCTAATAGAAATTTTGATGGGTGTACATCAACTTGATGTAGATATAAAGATTTAGTGTTGTTATTGCTCCAAACAATGCAAAGGATGGTAGACATGGCTTAAGCTTAGATAGGGCTCAAGCTTAGCTTATGCTTAAGGCAAGAGACAAAGCAAGCATTGCTTAAGTAGGGGGGGGTCTTCTGATATGGGAAACAACAAAACCCCATCCTAAAGTCACAATTATTCTAAAAATTTGGCAACTAACAACGTTATTGGTCAAACTTATAAGGGGTTATAACCGTAATCAAAAGTCATCTCAATCATCACATTTTGAACAATTGTATAAGACCCGACCGTTGATCTCATAGTTGAACGATATTACCTTCATTCAAAGCCAAACTCGAACCCGAAATACGAACCCAACTATACCCACAGTTGAGGGAGGAAGCACTATCATGTCGCCACAGTTTAGTATGCCCAATGTGCTTTTCCTACGGAGTTTGTTTATAGATTTATTCAACGACTTGCAAACGATGGCTTTGACTTTTTTGGTGATATTTCTCAACACCATCAACTCGAACCTTAGCGAGCAGTGTAATCTAAAGAAAAATGAACGAATCAAATTAAAGTACCCCGAAGTAATTAAGCAGTGCAAGCAAAGCCACATGGGTATAGAACTTTGGGGAATGTAGATAACAATGCATGAAGTAGGTATCTATCTATGTTATCACTTCAATCAAACAAGTTTGATCAAGTGGGTTTATGTGTATTATTTCAAATTAGCAAAAGCTGTGATATTTTCAAAGTAAATATGAGATGTGATGAAGGTTGTCTAAAATGTATGTCCTAATGAATGGAATTCTGAATCTGCTAAAAAAAACTTCATCATGGACTTAAAGAAAAACATGCTTAATTCGCTTATGAAATGGGAAGGTACTGTCAAGTAGTTGCCTAATTTTTCAAAAGGAGACATGTAAACATGAACTCATATTCGAAGAATAGAGAAGTTTTGCACGAAAGTAAAGGGATCCGGAAATAATTAAAAAACCAAATGCATTTGTCAAATTCTCCGTAATACAGAGTATGTGAATAGAAACTGTAATGAGGAGTAAAGATATCTATTTTCTAAAAATGAGTAGGAGAAAGAGAAGTATGAAGTACTTACATATAGATTGATTTTAGAGTAGGCAAACAACTTCTTAAGTTCCCAAATATAGCTGTTGACAATTGTAATAGCGCTATTAAGATGCTCTTGTAAAAAACCTAAAACACAGATTTTAAAAAGGATCAATTTCATAAGACATAAAAAGATTTCAAATAAGGTAGCAAGAACAACCTTTTAAGGTTGGGTGGTAACCTTCAGCATTGAAGAAATACAAACATCTATGGAGTCCGGCATAAATCAATCATCTAAATGAACTTAATCTCAAATGTCTCATTTTTTTCCCTTTTGCTCTGCAAATGGCTTTAGACAGATTTTAAATAGAAAATGCATCGATCTTAAAAGCATCAATACGAATGAATACTACTTTTCAGATGTTCAAATTGATGAAACCAGAAGCTAATCCACTGACTTTCAAAGCCAAAAGGTCAAACTCATGGGTAACAAATAAGTCAAAATAGCATGTGATAACCAATTCATGGGGGTACCAAACACCGTTCCTATTACCAAGCAAACACTCAAAAGGTATGAGTTTTCAGGTAGACAATAAAAACATCTAAAATTGTAATTGGGCATAAAAAATGGATATCCCAAAAGTAAATAAATCAAAGGAGTGATGAGATTACCTTAAGATACTCAAAAAAAAAAATGGAGACGTATTTCAAATGTTGTGTTAGGGGTCAGAGAAATACAATGCAAAACTGGAAACTCTACCCCTAACCAATTAGGATTGCAGTATTTTAAACGTGATTTAGGGGTCAGAGTAAATTTTAACATGATTCGTAACTAACTCTACAATTTCCTTCATTGGAGTTGTCTTTTTGTTGTGGTATGGCTCATTCATGCCCCCTCCAACTCCAATACCACATAGCTCCCATGGCTCTTCGCATCCTCCCTCTTATATCGTTATAATAGGACTAACAGACATGTAAAAATTGCATAGGATCATTCCCCAGGTTTCCTTTATCAAAAATGATTCAGTCTAAAGCATTACTTCTAATATCACTTGTGAACTTATAATCCCAAAAAAGATGCTCAAAATCTTCCTTCGCATCTCCAGAGAGTACTCAGTCCTCACCGATAGGCATATATTTTGCCAATTTAGTCCAAACTTGTAGTTTCTATTTACACATTAATTAGAGAAGAATTTGGCATTTCAGATGTCCCATTTTGTATGAAATAGTTCTGATCCATCAAAGTTTATTAGACTCCACCAGTGGCCACCTATAAGCACATGAGGTTCCATAACCTGCTATCTGCTTCACTAAAAGTTCAACTTTAACTGCTGATTTTTACCATTTTAGTCAAATTGACATAGAGTGATTTTTAGACATCAAACATATCCGCGAAATGTCCAGCTAGCAAACCCAAAAAGGAAGTACGCGAAACAGATTTTATGGCGTAAGTTTTAGCGTTGCAACTTTACAAAACAAAAATATTTTGTAGTGTTTCAAAACACTTAACTGACTAAACGGTAGTGATTATCTAAACTTATAGATTAGTCGTTCAAAAGATGAAAATAAATCCATAAAAGAGCAAAAATGTAAATTTAAAACTATCTGCTTTCAAAGCAAAACAAAAAACAATAAAAAATTACCAGAAGGAGCTGTTTGGCATAGCTGGAGACACCATACAATACTCTGTGATTTGACCATTTTCAAAGGAAATATAGAAGTGCAAGAGGTCCATCAACAGTAAGATATGCATCAAACATGAGCCCTCAAGAAAATGGCCCTTACTTTCTGTGTCCAAAATAAAAAGTCGAGTTTAACCAGACATGAAGTTTAAGAAAACTGTTCAAAGGCGAAAAGTGTAAGGTTGAAATTGATACAAAAAAAGAAAGAAATAACGATGGCTGCATATTCCTTCCCAAACAAGGAAATGAACTTTTAACTTGGAAAAGACAAAGAAACTGTGTTGTTTATTTTGGGACGAAATGAGTACTTTGTATTTATAAATCGTATTTAGCATTTTACCCATCCCATTTAACTCTGACTTACTTGAGCTTTTTCTAACACATTTTAATCCTCTTGCACCATATACTATATATCATTAAATCATACGGATGAACTGTGCATTATAGATATAAGGACACAGGAAGCTTAAGAGCTTGAGATCAGGAATGGTCATACCTTCGTCATGATGGGCAAGTTGGCTGTTTACTCCTGTAAACAACAAAGCCCAGTAAATCCACCAAATAAAGAAGTTCACTCCATATAATGAAGTTCTTAAGCTGGCCATGTCAGAGATGTCCAACAAAACAAAAGAATTTGGTAGTGTTTCAAGTCCACTCTACAAGGGGGAGACTTGAAAATACCCAAATCCGCTCAAAATCCCAGTAAAAGATAAACTTTCCCAAAGATGGATCACTAATGATTTGATATCCCAAATCGAAGAGAAATGTTTCCCTTTCATGTAATTATAATGGTAATAATAAAATTAATAATATAGATAATGATAATAATAATGATGGTAAATAACCTATTCTTTTATTAAAATTTGAACTCTGTATATTATACATGAGTAATGATCTGAATCTGAAACATTTTTTCTAATCATTGCATTCTATGCGCGGAGAATTAGCTCTTGTTCTCAGTTCTCAGATCTTATACATGGCAGACTGGCTGATAATCTTATTAGTTCTCAGCTTCGACACTGAAAATTATAAACCTTGTACACTCAGTGTCATCTTTAGCACCAAAATAGATTATTTCAAACCCAGATTGAACAGTTCATTTTTCATGAGAATTTGCACCACCTGTTTTGGGTTTGTGGTTGTTTAATTCACACAAAGAATGTCTGTTTCGTTTAGTCCACAACCATGTCTTTGCGAAGTAATTGCACATTCAAAAAGGATACTAAAAACTACTGAACAACCCAAATGCCAAAAAAAAGAGGATAACACCCGACATTGAAAGATGGCAAGAAAACCCCCAACCATCTCAAAACAACCTCAAAACCATCACACATACACACTTCCACATGAATACAACATAAAACACACCAATAACGCACTCATGCACACCAACATAAAACTTGTTTTTGATCATGAAGGTGGAATTGTTTCATAAACGCTGCAATGAAAGAAGTACCAATAATACCATGACCCATATGAACAAAATTACTAGACAAAACAAAAAATATAGATATTAAGAAAATGAAAATAGAGAAGAGGAAGAAGAACAGGAATGATGTTTTATTTGCGTGATATATAGAAGATTATAATTTTTTTCTTCTCAAAACAGAATTCTTATGACAAGTGAGGGTGAAGAAGGGTTTGGTCTAGTTGGACAACAGATCCGTAATACCTTACAACACCGAACTCCCACTACTCTTTGAGGCACACATCAACGTACATCGAGTAGTGAAACAAATCCAAGGCAAGTACCTGTTCAAGTATTCCTGGCAGAGCATCAATAATCGTCATCACAAATAAACAACAAACAAAAAAACATCACCACCTGAGAATGATGAAATCAGCAATACCTCGACTGTCGCTACCTATCAGCATGTGAAGCAATATCGAGAATATTTGATATGATATCCATCACAGAAGTACTGCGATCCTATGCATATCTGTCCACTTGCTGGGTGAAAAACTACTAGTACTCAAAGATGACCAGAACATTCTAAAGTTACTGATCAACAAACATCGTCACACCAAACAATGCTCACGAGTGGATGACCATTAACAAAGCTTCGGATGAAGTAAGAGTGGAATCAAAGGGTCTGGGTATGTAGTGAGGAGGAAGGGGACTGGATATGTGTTAAAGAATGGACATGACAGAAACAAGCAAAGGAAAATGCTTGGGAAGAATAGCGCAAGCACCCAACAGCTGGAGAATGTTACTACCTATGACTGCTCCTCGTCTGATCTCAAGCAAAGGTCCAACATGTTTTGAAGACATCCGCACAATAATACCATTGCCGGGAGAGGATGAAACATCATGGATTAAGACATCCACAATTCAGAAAATAAGTTTCCTAAATTATCATCCTTACATGAGTAAATGATCTCCCAAACACAATTGCAAACAACCAAGGATGTATTTAAATGAGAGAGTACTATCAAGTTTACCCTTTCTTATATGGTCTAAAACTACACCCTTAAATAACCTTGACATAAAGTGAAACATCCTTTTATGCCAGGATATCATCAAATGATGGGCTTGAATTGATAAGCTTTATGTGAACCAAGAAAGCATCGTTTAGAAGGAAAAAAAAGCTAGACACTTTCTAGGATAACATAGTGGAACACTCAGACATTTCCAACACAGACAAACCTACAAGTGATCAAAGTCTGAGTAGAAGGGCATGTAAGTTTACTAGAAATTCCTCGGAAAACCTATGATGTCTATGCCTCCAATATTAGATTCAGAGGACTCTCCCCCTACCAATACAACCACCACATCCTTAATTAGATGATAGACACCAGTAATCCAAAATAAAGCAGGAAACTGAATAAAAACATACTTGTTATATATGCCATTTTTTCAAAGAGAAGACTACATTCTATTTCATTATTCTATATGTCAACATCTTATGTTTTTTTCCACAACAAGTGGCAAGCACAAAGAAAAAAAGTGATTTTTTCCATCTTTTGGATTTTAACACGTCCAAATCTTGCACCTTTTCTTCTTGCCACCAACTGGTAACAGGGTTTGAATGTGTTGAACCACGTAGAATGTTTTGGACTCAACATCAAATCTTTTATGTGAGAGGGTACTGAGATCCAGCATCATGAAACTACACACCCTTGAACGTTGATTGTCATACCTAGGAGCATTCAAAAAGCACAACATGTTGTGCTTCCCAATATCTATGGGACACAAATGCAATGCAGGTGGACGCTTTGTACTTTTTTCAACCCAACTCTCCGAGTCCCTAAGCCACCACTCTATCTCTCCTCTGTCGTATGAAGAATCAAATAACATACATAGATTTGTCCTGAAAACTGAAAGCCGACAAGATAAAGGATCAAGCTTCCCAGAAGGCATATCGATCAGACTGAAGTTTTCTGATGTTGTGTTAAAAGCAATGATCTTTCCATGAGAACCCAGCCAATACATCGATCCTTTAGTGCTTACCGTGTGATAACGCAGCATACACAAGCCTTTTATGACTTTCAACGGGTCAAGACTAAGCTCTTTCCAGCCGGTAGAAGTAGATGAATACAACTGCGCTCTATAGATTTTCAGCACACCTATGTCAGTCGCTATCATCACGATTTTGTAATCCACGCTCCCTGGATTGAAACACAACCCGACAAAGAACATTCCACGAAAGTCTGCAGTAAATGCAGGTGGAATGAGTGCAGCATCAAGAAGAACCGGATTCCAGCATATGAGGGAAGGTGGAGACAGATTCTCTGTGTAGATATGAGAAGTTTGAGGTGGCTTGGGACACTTGAGGCAGACCACCCCATCTGAAGAGCAAGCAATACCCACTTCCTTTAAAGAATTCGGAATGTTTATGAAGGGGTCTGGCAATTCTTTGACGAGCATGTCTTGGTATTCAAGAAAATGTAAACCCAATCCCCTCTCCCGCTGGAGATGGAAAAGGATTGAGCCTTCATGATTACCGGAAATATGATCAGCGTGAAGTGTGAGAAAAGACGGCATCTTGATGATTTTCCTCCAAGTTTTGCAGACCAACTGGAATCTGACGAGCGATTGTGCGGGGAGATTCTTCAGGATGTTAATCACTATTTCCTCCGGGAAATAGAGTGAACCAGCACCCTTCATCTCTTCTGAGAATTTGAGAACGAAATAATATTAGGGAGAGGGAGTATTCTTTTCAAGGCTTTGATTTTTACAACCCAGCCGTTTCTAATGGAGCTCCAAACTCTCTTTTCTTAGTGGGGATGAAGAAGAAGTTGGCCTGCGAGAGATCGTCTTTCAGAAGAAAAAAGAAAAAAGAAAAAAGATTGGATGAAGAAGCCGGCCTGGGAAAGATTGGATGCAGCAGCGGCTCTGGAAGAAAAACGAAAATGGAAAGGAGAAGGGCAGCGGGGGAACGAAGAATTTAACGGAGTTTGATAGGGGAATAAAGGGTATCCCTAAAAAATGCACTCTTCAAACTTCAAAGTGGTGAAAAAGGGTGATTGGGTAAACTATTGTGTAATGATTCTATTATTTTTTTGTTTTCTTAGAATATTCATTTAAATATAAAAAAGATAAATTAAATAACAAAATAAAAATTTATTTGATACATTGCTATATAAATAAAAAAACTATTAAGAATTTTTATTCAATTAAAATAGCAAATAAAAAACTTTTATAAAAATATTAAAAATAAAAAAATACAATAAAAAACTCATTAATCATCTATATCTCGATTAGTTGGAACACGCCTGACCAAATCTCTTTTGAGCATGTTGTGTATCTCACTACTTCGTACCTCGACTCGTATTGTGTTTCTTTCATCATCTCTAATTTGTGTATTTGGTACATCTACATCTTCATAATTTTGACATATTGTTTTTCTATTATCTTCCAAGACCATAATATGCAAAATCATTCATGCATACATAGCAGCCTTATTTTTTCTATTTCTCCTAAATTTGACACTTATTTCTCACTTTATTGGTATTTTTCAGTTAACTAAATGCTCTCTCGATGTCCAGTCAATATCCTGTCACACCGTCTCTTGCTTCTTTTAAAATTACATTCTTTTTTCGTCATCTTCAGCGAGACATGTAAACGGTTTCACAAACATCGTGTATTCATGACAGATCTCATCTGCAAAATGGTATCCATATTAGTGATACTTATCATTAACATAAAAAGAAGATCCAATCGCAATGTAACAAAAACATCAGAAAAAAGCATAGACTGATCTAAAATATTTATGTTGTTATACGACTCGACTATCTGAAAGTGAGCATGTTATATCCAAAGATCATTCGACGCAACTGCTTCAAACACTATTATGGGGTGTTCATAGTCACCCCTTTGTTGTGTTCCTAGCCAGTGGAGTATTTTTCCTGAACCCAGTGTGTGCAGTCAATGCTACTAAGCATCCTAAGGAAATCGTGTACTTCAAGGAGAGTGTATATTTGTTGTATGTCTCTTCCTATTAGTTTATGCAAGTATTTATACCCGTACACCTCAATGATATCTTGAGAAATATTTTATTCGAATTAGGATATCACGATTTTTATATTACGTGTTTATTAAATAAAAAGTTTCTTTGCAAAAATGATATATTGTGTCTCTATATTCACTCTCCATGAACGACCCATCTTTCCCGCTCTTCCTCAAATTTTCTTCAGACCTACTCTGATGCAGACTGGGCCGGGTGCCCTAACACGCGATGCTCCACCTCTGGTTATTTTGTATTTTTAGAGAACAACTTGGTCTCATGGTTTTCCTAGTGGCAAGCCACCACCTCCAGATCTAGTGCTGAGCTGAGGCAGAATACAAAGTCGTTGCAAACGTTTTTGCTGAAACCAGTTGGATTCGAAATTTTCTTCTTGAACTCCATCAACCACTACACCAAGCCACCATTGCGTTCTACGACAATATCAGTGTTGTCTACTTGTCCTCAAAACCGGTGCAGCATCAACATACTAAGCATGTTGAAGTTGATATTCATTTTGTTAGAGATAAAGTTGCATTAGGGAAAGTTCGAGTTCTTCATGTACCATCCTCTTCCCAGTTCGCAGACATCTTCACAAAAGGATTGCGGTCACTTCTCTTCACAGATTTTTGACATAATCTTGGAGTCCAAAGATCACCGACGGAGTTGGTAGCATGTTAAATATGTTAAGTAAATATTAAATCCTTTATATATAATATTTGAGAGTTAAACTCCTAGAATGTTGACATTTGTCATGCTAAGTGGACAAAATTTTTAACAACTCATCTGCCATGTCATCAATGTCATCATCAAGTGAATGTATTTATTGGGCTTTCTTAACCAAATCAGATCTAAATGACTCGGATGGCTGATTTGAGAAAAATTCACCCCTTCGATCCTAAGAGAAAAACTCACCCGTTCATCAATGCGATTTATGCGATTTAGATTCTAGAGATTCGCAATCAATTATATGCGAAATTTCTTAAATTTCTTCGATATGAAGAACGAAATTACAGTAAGTTTCCTTCGCAGATGATATGCGAAATTTCTGTGAATTTTTTTTGATATGGAGATGCACTCTCCTTGGTAGACGGATGCAGTTTCCTTCGAAGATGAAATTTTGATGAGCGAAATTTCATCGGCACCAAACTCTTGCTCAAAAACATTAACTTTCCTTAATTCTTTGTCCAATTCCATTTTTTCACGGAATTCCTTAATACGATTTAGTTCATATATAAATCAATTCTAAATTAGCCATTTGATCAATCTTGGTTTGTATGGGCTACTCATACCTAAAATCTTTGCACAATTGACATGTCTACCAAACTCATTCATCCTTTTCTGAAAATAAATCCAACAAGTGAATGCTGGAGAGTTTTAGTTCGTGTGGTTCGATTGTATAAGATGCCAGATTACA